AAAAAAAAAAACATATTGTGAATTGTTTTTTGTTGATACACAAATTCTTATATGATACATGTGTTTGTTATTTAATAAACTCATACTTTATTTTACAGTAATTATGATATATATGTATTTGTTATGTAATAAAGTTATGAAAGTAAGATATTTTACGGTAATTAAATAAACCTAGTGAAAGAACATTGTTATAAAATAACTCACATTATATCACATAATTACTCAATTTAATTACCCTTTTTCAAATAATTTTTTATTGTTCTTTTTATTTTTCCCATTTATGAACCCTAGAATCAAGGGCTATAACCAAATACATAGCATATGCATATACGGACAAGGGGACGCCACTTCTAGTCCAAGACCCAAAGAAGCTTGCAATTCTTGGAGTTTGGGCTGAAGTTGAGGCCCACAGATTCGATGCGGCGGGCCAAAAGCTCAACTATGAAATCCGGGTCAAGCCCTTTAAGGGCCTCACCACTGACGAGGCCCTGGTTGAGCAGTTGGAGGCCCAATTAACCACAGTTCTTGACGTGTACGAAGAACGCCTGGCAAAATCTAAGTACTTAGCTGGAGATGATTTTACATTAGCTGAGCTTCATCATGTGCCCATAATCAACTCTCTAATGAAGACAAAGGTCAAGGCTTTGTTCGAAGGGCGCCCGAATGTGAACACTTGGTGCTCCGAACTCTTGGCTCGGCCTGCTTCGCAGAAGGTTCTATCTGAATTCACGTTCTGATTGGTTCGTGAGAGTTGTCGATAATTCACGTTCTGATTGGATGTTGGGAGTTGACTTTTGTAATTTTTGTTTCGCAAAATTTGTGTTGTGGTGAAGTGATTGTGAAATAAAATGTCATGTTTTTGTTTATTTAGCAATTACATCTCTATTACTATTATTTGAATGCATATTTAATTAATTTAGGAGGAATTAAATGATTTATTGCTCGGATAAGATGCATTTCTTTATTTGTAAGTTGGCATTAGTAATAAAATGGCATTCAATAGCGCTGTCTTCTTAGTCAACTTTATTTGCAAGCTGACATTATTAATTCAGGAAATACTACTATCTCGTTACGGAATCTTTTTATCGAGATTTGTAACCGTAAGATCATCATGTAATCGCCGTGGACAGTTGATGTAAGGGTTACAAATTTCGACGAAACATAACGGGATCCAAGAATCTCCCTATTAATTCACGATTCATAATAATTTAAAATTAACTTAACTTGTCACGCAAATCCACATAAATAATACTCCCTCCTTTTTTAAATAAATGTCGTTTTGACTTTTTTGATTCATCCATTTTGCTATGTATCTAGACATATTAATGTCTAGATACATAACAAAATATGTCTAGATACATAGCAAAATGGATGAATCAGAAAAGTCAAAACGACATTTATTTAAAAAAGAAGGGAGTAATAATAATAATAATAAGTTAAATTAATTAACCCCATAACTTGCCCACTCTCCACATGATCCAAATTTATTTATCTGCCACATTTTCAGCGTTATGTCATAAAATATAACTATTCCACCACTATAAAAAGCCCACTTCAAAGCATCATATCTTCTCAACCATTCTCTCACTAATCCTCACATCATTAATTTAATCTCTTGTTTAATTTGATTTTAAATTTAATTAGCAGTAATTAATGGCAATTAAGGTCCATGGATTTATTTTTTCACCAGCAGTACAGAGAGTTCTCATCTGCTTAGCTGAAAAAGGTCTCGACTACGAATTAGTTAATGTAGATTTGTTGACCGGTCAACAGAAGAAGGAGCCCTTTATTTTACTCAATGTAAGTCACAATACATGCATCTTAATTTGGTTTAATTTTGTTTAATTACTAAATTGCTTCTAATAATTTCTGCTAATTTGATGATTAAGATGTGCTAATTCCATTTTATTTATTTATTTTTTTATTTCATTTGTGTAGCCATTTGGTCAGGTGCCAGCTTTTGAAGATGGCGACTTGAAACTCTTTGGTAAATTTTTCTTCAGTTACCGAAAGATTCGATTAATTGGTTGATACATAAATTCTTGCACGAGTCAGTTTAACAGTTAGATTAGTCAACTCGTCATACTATTTAATCAAGCATGCATATTTATGTTATGAAATGTTGTATATTTATCATATTAAGTATGACATTTTTAATAAAAATATGAATATGTGTTAAAAAAAGTATGATAATTTACAGTCAATCGAGTAAAAGAACATTGTCATTTGAATATTTCAATTATATCACACAACTCAATATTTATAATAGATTATTATTGTGTGAACTCGCTAGAATCAAGGGCTATAACCAAATACATAGCATATGCGTATGCGGACAAAGGAACGCCACTTCTAGTCCAAGACCCAAAGAAGCTTGCAATTCTTGGAGTTTGGTCCGAAGTTGAGGCCCATAGATTCGACGCGGCGGGCCAAAAACTC